GACTCAACTCTTTTATATTGCTAATTGTAGAGATGACCTTACCAGGACGTGATGAAATAACAGACCAGGTGAGTTTTGAAGGTCATTAAGCACCACGTCCACAAAATCATGGATAAAATACTCTGCGAAAACATAACCAAACGTTAGAATGAGGTCATAAGTTAATGAATAGTGCCTGGGGTCGCTTTGTCGCTTGTTTTTGAAATCGAACTGTTTGGTTAATCATATAGAGACAAATGTGGCTGTTTCGTTTTGGTAGGAACACAAATGTCTATGTACGTACTAAATTTTCGCGATGCTGTAGTTTTTAATTTAATGTATTAGAAGATCAACCTCGTATGAGTTTTTGTCGTCTTCAGTATAAAAAGGAGTCTCTGAAATTAACGGTTACAGAATGTTAACATTAATTTACGTATCTTGTTCCTCATACTTTGTTGGCCACAGGTGTGGCCGTTTATTTTTATAGCAAGCTGAGAAAGTTTAAATTACAAATATACCAAAGTATAAGCCCAGCTGAGGGAGGAAACCGCCAAAGCCCGACACGAAGAACGAATAAAAGGGTAGCGCCATCCGTAGCCACGGCAACACACCCGGTGAAGAAGTATCGGAAGTTATCGTTAGGCTAGTAAAGAAGACTGAATAAACAATGACTAAAATGTTCTGAAGATACCAAATGTGGCAACCTTACTGAGAAACAGATTGCTGTAAACTAAGGGCCAACCCACATGACATGTGCTTGCCGCCTGTGTCAAAATCATAAACAATTTGCATCATATACCGTTGTCTACAACAACGTTCCCCACAGGGAAAATGTTTCAAATTCGGAGATATCGCATACAAGCCGTGTGCAAGACAACACAAATTAATTGAAGACTTTGAAATGCTAAATTATAATTTGTGGCAGAGAGAATCTACTTTGCTAAGATGACCGTCCGGAAGGCTCTGTAATCAAATTCAAGAAATAAAGAACTAAGAGAGGGAGGAAAAACACCTTAAATATACAAAACATAAATATAAAATTTGGTTAAGATTAAATTAAAAAAGCTACAGAGTCAGGATTCCCGCATTTGTGGTAACTTTGATGGTTGCCGTTGGAAACTGACGTCCGACGAATCATGGCTAATGCAATCTTCCGGTGAAAACTAGCGCTCAGTTTCTGGATCTTTCTGCTGCGGCGAATTGCTTTTTGCTCTGCAAAATTGAGCGTCCCGCAAGGCATCAGTCACATCAATCGCCAGTCTAAAAGCTAGGAATCGAAATTTATTGTTACATAAACTTTATCTACTGTGATTGGGAGAGGATTCATCATAAATTCAGTTTTTCAGTGCTATGACCAGCAACCCTTTCATATATTTACTACTACTAATAATGATAATGATAATGATAATGATAATAATAATAGTAAAAGGCACTTTATACTCTCTTTATGAAACCAAGAGACGATCGATGATCTAGATCATCGTCTCTTGACAAGACGTAAGGAGAAAGATAAAAGAAAATATCTACAAATTAGATAACGGAAAAACAGAGATAATTTTCCACACTAATTCTTGCATAAATGCTTCTTTTAAAAGACGTGGTTTTAAAAGATATTTAACAAAGTCCAGCGATTTTATATTGTAAAGTGTTTCGGCAGTATTGGCGGCAGCAACATAGCCTCAAATAGCCTTTGTTAGGATCGATATTTTAAAATCAAAAATTAACTTGTTTACCAGAGAGCATATATATACTTGTAATTTCCAGTCAGCAAGAAGTTTAGATGCACGCCAACTTCGTTTTACCGTCGTTTAATGGCCTTCTCATGATAAACAGTATCTGTGTACGATGGGCGCCCGAGGGGACCGGGCCGAGTGGTAACCATCTAAGACCGAATTGGTGCACGATAAAATATCCTGCATATGTGATCTGGAATTAACGTATGTAAACCAGTGCTCATTATAAGTCTCTATCTTTTATTAAACCAGTTGAAAGTCTAAACCTTTCATTTGCTGTAAGTCAATGCAAACCCAAAGATAAGCAAATATATAGGTTTATTTTCTACGTCTGGTTCCATATAAATGACCTCCTGGCTTTTAGCAGTGTAGCTTATAAAAGTTTATAACAAATTATAGACATTGTTTACCTGTAGAGAAACAGACAACGTAAAATGGAAGCCTGCTCCAAGTCCTAATCATGTCTGTAAACATCGCCGGTTCATCGTAAAAGCTGCAAAGTTTGAAAGAAATTTCATCGCAGAACTCATCCTTGATTTCCGGCATTTCCTTATCACCACGAGTTAGTTAATATTTATTAAGCTTTATACACCTTATTCCAAAATGGCCGACATTTTAGCATTCTTTTGTTTACTTGAAAATGAGCCCTTGTTGCCTCGTTTAAGGGAAAATATTATTTTGAATTTAGAGTTCAAGAACGAGGCAACAAGGGCTAATTTGCAAGTAAATAAAAGAATACTTAAATAGCGGCCATTTTGGAATAAGGTGTATTAGCATGCGGTGGATCTCTGTAGACTATAGAAGTAGATATTTCGTGAGGTAATCTCCTGTTCTCGACTCAAACGCATTATTTTCTTCTTATAATAAACTGAAAACGCCGGTAAAAAGATAACCATGACATAGAAATGAAGTTTAGCTTACCAGTATACTGCCAAAACAGATGAAATGCACGAGTGACCAAGGGAAACCACGGTGTTGTGGTAAAGCCATTGGTTCCGAAAGGAACCGTGCAGTGATTTTGGAACAGGAATGAATAATTTGGTGAAAAAGTAGAAGATCCGAAAACAAAGCAGGGATGGAATGATAAGATAAAGCGCTTCTGGAACTTCTAAGAAGCCAAACATGTCTGGCAGAAGGAAAGAACATGCCGTTAATATTTTGTTTTGTAATCCACATGTAGTAAAGATTCGTTATCTGATTGGTCGCATTTCCAGCGGGACTTCTAATTCTTGTGATGCGGCTTTTTCTTGACTTCCCCTCAATTTCAGTATTTACGCATCTCGGTAACCGGGCTCTCGAAGGTCCCTAAAACTTTACACACCCGGATAGCCAGAGCAAAATCTTAAACCTTATGATTACAGAGCTGTTTTATTGACGTAGCCTTAATATGAACAGAGGTTCTCTTCATACAAGAAGTTTCAGGCGTATGTAGCTACAGATTTGTAGATACAGATAAACTAAAAATGGTTGCAAGGGCCCTAAACACACACACAACATCATAATATTTTAATATGAGTGCTTTCTTATTCTGGCATCATCTTTCTTTTATATAAGAACGTGTTTTATTTATCAGGCTGAATTGGTTCTTACATGTATGTTGCTTTATTGACCAGCTTTCAGCCTCATGTTGTTAATCCACTTGTTCTTATATGCGAGTGTTAACTGTATTCCGATGCCGTCTCCATTGTGAAACGTTACCCGACTTCAGTACCTTTCCTGTTAACGTACTCTGACTTCAGGCTTCGTCAGGACAGCACAGTTTTTCCCGCCTGCTAAATCCTGATTGGTCAATTCAAATTTCAGGCGCGCCAGCCGTATGCAAGGCCATGTAATAATTCTATGGGCTCATTGATGAGTTGCAGGTTTCTCTTACCTCGAGTCAAATATTTTCCTGTCCGGCCTGACCTGACTCAGTCAATAACATTCTCGTCCCCAGAGTCACCTGCTCTTCTTAGCTGGTGGACCTGAGCAGGAGAAAAATGTGCCTCTGGAGACACACAGTTGTGCGGCTAACCTTTTAGACAAAGATTTCCCTTCATTCAATGCTGGTTTCCTCCTGGAAAATATCCACTGGTTGATCTCTGCCTAAAACCGTTCGATTAGAGCGCCTAAGACCTTGACAAAGTAGGAGTTAAATTGATGGTGCAAGTGGGAATCGAATGGTGTGTTATGGAGGACTTCGGAGGAATTCTCCGCGTGATGCGTCAGTCAATTCCAGCAGTGCCCATCACCCCCGGGCAACCGTGGGGCATTTGCTGACGTTGTCAGTCCCGGAGGTGGGGCATTCGCAATTTTATCGCGGGCCGGGGATTGGGCATTTGGGTACCCGGGGCGACTCCCGGGCATTTGACACACGTGTTTTCGAAAGTGCCCTCAGGAAAGACGAGGCGTTTGTCGAACACTGGCTTGTCTGTTAGGGACTAGAGAAACTTGTAGATGTTTTTAAAGGTATGTTTTCTCAATTTCAGATATTTCTTCTTTACCAGTGTAAGCATATATATATAAGCGACAAGGTGAACCATATTTTGTGTGAATAAAACCCTTATGCACTTTTGCTTATTTTTATACCGTTGTTATTGTTGTTTGAACTTTTATAACATAGAGTGGCCATTTTTGTGGATGGAAGGGTTCAGCTTTGTTACGTGCTTTGACAATGTCGAACAAAAAATCTAGGTTCAAATCTTTTGGTTATTGATTCCACGAGCTGTTTATAATCAAGTATTGAAATAAAATATTAAAGTTGTGAGATTTCTAAAACAATGATAATTGTTTTATTGTCAACATTGTTAACGGGATTGTCGTTATTTTAGTCGAAATATTCAAAACAAATGGTTTTTATACAACAAAATATTTAATGGCACGCTATGCTCTAGCAAACTGTAATAAAAACAAAATATAAAAAAAAATAAATATAATCAGAATCAACCAACACGTACTGTTGTCCTTGAAGTCTTACCGTTGCATTAAAATACTGAACAGCTGAACGTCCTATTCAATGATTAATAAAAAACTGCAGAGGTGTTGGAAGGTGACGATCGCGGGGACGGGGCATTTGCCCTCTTTCTTCGTCCCCTCCCCGGGGCATTTAGACAGCTTATGTGTCCCCACCCCGGGGAATTTGCCCATTTTTTTCCAAAATATGCTAATACCCAGAGGTTAGCCCGGGGGGGGGGGGTGGTGGGCACTTCTGGAATTGACTGACGCATAAGCCAGTATCATGAAACTTTCCCGGCGAGTGAACTATTAGAAGAGGCCTCCGTTATGTTATAACCGTTTGTCCTGGGGAAGTATTGAGATTCCCGGGAGCAAAAATGAAAAAGAGCAAACTCCCTTTCATCATTTACGTGACCACGCACTCAGGTAGACAGGAAAATTTTTTTGACTGCTGTTATGATGGTTACACTGATCCACAAGAAATCTGGGAACGAAATTTATTTTTTCGCGCCAGCGATCATCTTAATCAGAGGATAAACAAATGAGGATTCAAAATGGTCCCTGATAATCGGAAGTTGTTTACAGTTACTAGGGCCCGAGTTGAAAGTAAAATGAGCACTTTTAGTTATCATTAATCTTGAAAATGAAGCTACAAACCAGATGTTTTGAACAGGTCGTCTTATGAGCATAATGGCAGGATCTGGTCATGCCGAAAATGACGTTTACTCAGAAAGACCAGCAGCCACGCGTGTAAGTAAACAAATAAGGCGCCAAGCTTTCGGCGGTTTTACGTTATGTTAAGCTTATTTCCTCATGCATTGTTACTGTCCTTTTTGTTTACTCTTAATTTTCCCCTTAACTTGCATAAGGACTTCAGACTACATGTATCCATGAAACTCTCCAATCACAATAAGAGCGTGAAATCAGCTGTCAAGAACGATACAACATAAACATGACGAGTCCGAGGATTGTTAACATTGTTGAAAACCAAGTTTTGGTTTATTACAATGCAAAAAATATTGTTACTTTATTTCGGCTTTATTTCAAAGTCAGAGTCATGCAGTTAGATCAAAACAAGTAGACAGCTGATGTATTAAGGCTAATGGCTAATTCTCTCTATGAAACGAGCCTAGTTGTATTCATCAAAACAAACAATTATGTGACTGTTCATGGGAAAACGTACTTTAACGCTAATCCGTTAAACGGCAAAAAACTAACGGATAATTAACAGATAGTTAACAGCCTTCAAAGCGTTCTAACGCTTTGTGCTAACATCCCAATGGCTAACAAGTTTTGCCTAAGGGTTCATCACAGTGTTCTAATGTTTTGCCCTAACGGTCTAAAGGCTAACTAATTCTGCCTAAAGGCTCATGGAAACGATTGGCAGCCAATAAACGGCTGAGAAAAAATCTAATGGATAGCCGTGAAAGTGTCTAACGCTTGCATCTGATCCGCTTGAGCGTTAGCAACTGGTACCTATGCATGCTGTACAGCCAAATAGTAGTTAAATTGCTACAAAAAAGGTCAATATCCCCATGAAAATTTAATGCTGATTTCATTCATAGCCATGAAATGGAAACACCACTCAAAATGAATGCTAAATTCGTCTAGACATGGGCCCGCTGAATAATTAGTCTGATATTAACAAATTGCTAGCAAGTGAAAAAGCTGAATCGTGACTAGTATGTTTTTATTGGCATGAAAACTTAAATACATTTCCATAACCACTTCATAGCACAATGTGTTGCAAAGCAATACTTCGTGCTGGACGTGTCAGTTTCACATTTTGTGTAAACAAGTTTTTGATCAAAAGAAAGAGCAAAGCGAAATTGAAGTTGTGACCTGACTTCACAGCAAGGTTCATCACTAGTTTGTAATAACTATAAAGTCTATGACTTTATGACCTTCTCATGCTTACAGTGATGAACAAGCTTAACTAGGAATTTACATGTTTCAAACAGTTTTTCGCTAATGCATTATTGATATTCAGTCGAATTATACTTTATCAGTGAACAGCATACAATACTCGTGGAATCTCAAGTTAGATTAATACTTACAATATACCCAGAATAAAGCTACCCATCTTATTCCCTCTTCAACTACATCGCTTGCTCAGTCTCTGTAATGCGAATGAGACTATATTGCTTGTGCGGCCGCTCCATAACCCGAAGGCTTTTAAAAAAGGGCTCGCTTTGTTCGCTTTAATAGCCATTCTCATGCACATTGCAATGTAACTTATGAAGTCGACTTCAGGCCGAGACATAGCTTATGTCTTGCAATACACGGATTCCTTTACTCATAACCTTTGCCGGGCCATTCTAATGGATAGCAAACAGTTACATTACGGTTTAACGGATGCCAATTTGTTCTAACAGCTCTGCAGTGATGGGCTTTTTGTTGTAACAGTATGATGCTAATGACTAATGGATACAGGCTAATGACTAACGCTTACACTCTGCGCTCTAATGTTTTGACTTTCAAAGCTAGTGGTTACATTAACACATCTATCATTTTCGAGAAAAATTTCTAATGGGTAACTAACAGATGATTAATGGTTTCGCCTGTCTGAAGGATAAGCGTTAAAGTATGTTTTCCTGTGAACGGTTACATATCCAGTCCAAGTTGATGAATACAAGTACTAACTAGCTGCAGGCACGTCTCATAGAGGGAAATGGCCATTAGGTGTATGAACAGCACGCTACATTAACCCTAAGCTAAAGCTGTACACGTTCTTTATAGTTTTTGTGAAATTGCAGATCAGTGTAAAACAGTCAAAGTAAATGAATTAATGATCATAATTGTGAACCAGCCAAAGTAATTGAAGCCAAGGTTTAAGTGAATTTTACCTGTCTATGGCAATTGTGGCAGTTGATGTGCTGTAGTTCAGTGCTGAAGGTACATGTATGCACTGTTACAGGAACAGCAACAGAAAAAAATATCAGGCCTTACATGTAAGCTTAATACAGCAACCAATGTTTGTGTTTTTTTGCAAATTTCCATGCATGTGTTGAAGGAAAAGATATTCCACTTTTTGGTATCTATTTAGCTTACACTGTGTGTTCTTGCTTGTGTTATCTAGTGTTCTGATTTTCTAGTTCTCATGTAGTGCTACCATATTGGGAACCTCTTTGTTTACCAGCACAGAGTGTGTGTAGTATCTCAGTTAATTTACAAAAATAATGCACAGGCATACATTTGTATTCTTGTCTCCTGAACCAGCACCTGCACGAACCTTTCTATGTGAACTATTAACTTTGTGAAAAAGAAACATTTGATGGGACAATAATGTTGTGCCTGCTACTTAAATTTAAACTTGTTTGGATTGAAAAAGTTGTTTCAATAAGGGATAGCAATATAACTTCTCCAATTTATACCTTCTTCCACTTGCATCAAGCTCTACAGAAAGATACTGTAGTTTTAAGTTACCCACACTCAAATTAGTACAAAAATTGAAATGTATGTAAGAAAAAACCACAACATATTTACTGAACTTCTTATGTTCAGATTGTATGTTTTTTGTTTTGTTTTTGAGAGAGCCAAATCATTTATTCAGTATGTACATACAAAAAAAAAAGAAAAGTATTCAGTGTAGTCACCAACCATTTAAGAAAGTAAATGAACGTCCTTTTTACAGATTTCCCAACTGATCATGTTCATAAAAATAAAAGACAAAACACGCTGTTAAAAGCTATACATTACTAGGTGGAGAGAAACAGAGTTATCTTGGGAAAATGTTCTCTGGTTATTTATAATACTTTCACAACATCCTGTTGCTTCTCATCTGCTGACGTGCTGGTCTTGAGGTCTTGCCTTTTTTCTGACAGAAGTAATTTTATTTTACCTTTGAAAACCTTTACAATTCTTATCTGTTCTGCTGTGTGTTAAGCAGATTCTTTTCTCATTTGTAGGATTGGTTGCATCATGCAAATCAGTCACTCTCTCGACTGAAAGATGTGAAAAAGGCATCCTATTGCCTGGGTGGAGGACCACGTGAGAGAGAAGTCTACTGCCAGTGTAATTACAGGAGTAAAAGCAAAAACAGTTTCTTAAGTTTGGAAGCCGAGCCTCCACAGTTAGCACTTGACAGTCAAGAAACAGCCAGGTACACATGTAGTGTACAAAAATGTGTACAAACTCAAATATGACCTAATGATGCAACTTTGTGTAATTTCATAATGGGAAATGATACAGTAATAACTAAATGTTGATACCTTGCCAATTAGTGGTGAGGAACATTTTCAAAAGTAAATTAAATTTCTGATCAACACCCTTCACTAAATCTGTTTTACTTCTTCATTAAGTATATATATATTTTTAAAGAGGTTAATCTTTGTCGCTATATTTGTCAAAGACTACTACCAGGTAGCTAAAACCTCAATGTCAAGGAATTTTTTTTTTAAAGAAGAACAGTTTCCGGTTTAATTTTTTTGAAAACTGTAATCTTGTACTGAGAATAAGATTGCTTTGATTTTTAAATTTAGAATAATCATGCTCATAATTTCCCTTTTTTATTGTTGAATAATAAAAATGATTGTTTTGAAGGAGATGATGCAGTTGAACAGTAACCACTGCTGTTTGGTTTTCTCCTTCAATAGTATGCCAGATTTATCCATACCTGAAATAGTTAAACAGTTCAATGAACGACAGTCACAAAAGTCCAAGGAAAGGAGAAGACCACATTCCTCTGCAATATATTCAACCAAGAATGCAACTAGGAAACATGACAGTGAGAAACCTTCTGAACACAGCGATAATGCTTTCATTACAGGTAGCAAATAATATTAATGTCTTTCTTTAAAAATTATCGAAAGTGCTTGCTACATGTAAATGCCTAAATTTGCTGCTACAATGTTTACTGAAATACATTGGAAACGTATTTGCCGCGATTTACATCTTCCTGGGAATGACTATTTACTGTACATGTACATAAAGTAGAAAAGCTGTGAACTTAGAAAAAAGCACAGGTACGGTACCCCAGGTTCACAATAGATTACCTGAACAATTTGTTGAAAGTAAACATAAAGGTCTGTATAGGAATGGAATTATACACAAAAACATTTTAATTAAAGATACCTTTACATGTACATGTAGTTTACCTCAATCCCAATGTGTTTTACCTCCTGCTTGTTCTCCTCAGATCAAGTTTATTCTTCTTAGTTAATCCTTCTGTGGATATGTAGTACATGAGAGTTTAATTTGTTTTTTTTTCCTTTTTAGTGAAAGGACAAACAGTGACACCCCAGGCTCGTCCACCTCATGGACCTCCACTAATCACTGATGTGAAAAAAGATGATCCTGTTTATAAAGGTACCACTTTTAAGGAAATACCTGACCCTTAAGCACAGCTTCAAGAACTATATTTTTTTAGGGCATGACACTTAACTGTCACAGTGCCGTAGTCCCTGCAACTCCAAGCCCTAGCCTATGTAAACAATAGGCTCAAGTTGTCAATATGCTCAGATAATTATTTTTCAATGGACACTATCCATTTCAAGAAGCAAACAGTTTTCTGAGAGCATACATTGAGGAAGGATTTTGTTAGAAAGGTTCGAAGTTTAACATATTAAATATTTATTTTACTGTATCATAGTCCCTGTCACTCCAAGTCCTATCATAGTCTATTAATGAAATTTTCAATTTTTATTGTATGAACATGTTATAGCTTTTAATATCATAATTATATGGTAGTTAGTTATGTTAATTTTAGTAGTGGGATATCTGTAAACTAGCCATATGGCTAAGCATATTGCCACTTTAAATAAAGAGTCCTATCCTACCCTAAAACCTTTAGCTTTGAGGAACAGACAATGTTTGTTTTGTTAATTTTTATCGGAGAGATATTTTTAAAGTCATTGTAAAGCACTATAAATAGATACATGCAGTGATAGAAATAGTGCTATATAAATAAATTACTATTATTATTATAATGTCCAAGGACAAAATTAATATCCAAGCATATTTTTGCATCATCCTCCAAATATATTTCCCACAATGCACAACTTTAACAATTGTCACTCCAAGCCCTAGCCAGGGTACCTGTGTTGAGTTATTGAACAAGACACTTTACTGTCACAGTGTGTCTGTCCCTGTCACACCAAGTCCTAGCCAGGGTAACTGTGTTGTGTTATTGAACAAGGCACTTTACTGTCACAGTGTGTCTGTCTCTGTCACACCAAGTCCTAGTATTACCCTGGCTAGGACTTGGAGTGACAGGAACTGAGACACTGTGACAGTAAAGTGTCTTGTTCAATAACACAACACAGGTACCCTGGGTAGGACTTGGAGTGACAGAGACAGACACACTGTGACAGTAAAGTGTTTTGTTTAATAACACAACACAGTTACGGTAAAGTTTTCCACTTGAAAGGAAATAGAAGATGTCTGCCCGCCGATTATATTCGAAACAGACTTATAGGTAGGAATCCAAGCTCATTCAGTAAGTGCTTATTTATGGTTTTCCTCGATTCCATGTTATGTTCTTCTAAGTTCTCTGAACGTTATGTTTCCGCCCCTTCTCTCGTATGCTTTTTACTTATGTTTAATGTTTTTTTTTCTGTTTTACGAATTTTAAGGATTAGTTTACCTAGATCCTCAACACGTGGAGCAACATCAAACGTGCAGACTTGAAGGACTTCAGAGATATTCGGCGGCATTTTGTGATAACGAGGATGCTACGAGCGCTACTCCACCTGCGCCTCGAGCCTCACCGGAACCAACTTGTCCGAGGACAAACTCACCAGACTCAAGTGAAGAATATCTCAGTGACGAGAATGATGATAATTATGATATCATCAATGAATTTTCGCAGACGAGATCGGTGTCTTCGGCAGGTTCTCGTTCCCTAGTTTTCGCAATTCCAACGGCGAGTAATGAAGGTACAGGTAGCGAAGACGAGGACACTCAAAGTGACTTTAAACCTGGTAGACTTTCCACTGATTATGTTGCAAAGAGTGAAGTTCTCCTGGACGAGTTAAGCGAAAAAAATCAAACGGAAGCTGCTGAAATATCAGGAATGCTACTTGATATGGAAAGCGCTAAGGCAAAAGTCAGTGGACTTCGTATTAGTCCACGAGACTTGGAGCTAGACTATGGCTCGGGTGAGGATAAATGTGCCTCGAGCGGCGTCGTCACACCGACGGTACACTTGGCTAGCATGCAAATAGATTGCCCTCCTGTTGATGAAACAAGACCAGAAAGTGGTTTGTATGAAACTGTCTGGGTTGAAGAGCCTGCAGATCCTTACATTTCAAGCACTCTTCCTTTAAGAAATAGCCGAGTTTGCTCGGCGAGATATATGAGCAAGCATACAAACGATTCAGGACGTATCAGGAAACACCAAAGCGAGAGTTCTCTTGTGCTGCAAGGAAAAACCGTGGAATTTTTCAACTCTGAAGATTTAGCGGCGAGGATCTGCATGAGAGACACCAGAAGAACTTTGAAACCCAATGATGTCAGTGATGAAGAGCATGGCAAGCTTGAAAAGCCAAACGTGCATGAACAGAAAGTAACCAGTACTTGTCTTGACCAGGTGAGCTGTAAAAGGGGAACAAAATGCTTCTGTCTGGATGTTACAGTATGTGTAAAGACCTGATGCTTATTGTTTATTTGTCGTATTTCGTGTCTGTATGATACAGTGTGTTCAAAGACCTTATGTTTATTTGTATTTTTATGTCTGTATGATACAGTATGTTTAAAAACGTGATGCTTATTTGCGTAAGTGTTTATGTTATACATCAGTCAACTCCAGTTCCGATTCCAATTCTAGTTCCGTCCTTTATCACCTCTATCTATGTTTTTTTTTCAGGTTGCAACAAAACCACCACTTCCAAAATGGATTACTGCAAAGAGCGGCAAAAAATCTACCTCGAGGCAGAAACATTCTGTTGACAAAATAAATGTTCAGAACCAGCCATCAAAGTCATCTTTGCGAAAATCAAACTCTGAAGGAAATATTGATTTGCGTCGTCTGGACACCCACTTGTCGGCTACCAGTAATCTTTCAAAGAAATCAGTAACGTTTAGTCGAGATGTTTTGAATCAAGATGATCAAGTTGATAGCAGTTCACTTGCTTCGTTTGAACTTACCACTCGTGACAGCTTAGACGGCGAACATACTTCTGAACAGACCCTGAAAAGTTGTCTTTGGTCTCCTCCTTCAGGAGTTGTTATACAAAATGGCTTAGAAATGAAGGAAATTGAGTTGGAACGCCGAGAAATGCCCGAAACAACAGCCTTTGATAAAGCGTCAAAAGTCAGCCATACACAAAGAACAAATCAAAGCACACGAGCCAAAGTTTTGGCAAAAATGAAAGAAATTCCAGGTGATGAAGACCCTTGCCCGTGCAGGACAGTTACCAGACCTACTGCAGCTCTGTTAACAGTGTCGAGAAGCGGAAAGTCTGGACCCACAGAGACATCCTCGAGAAACGAAAAGCTCCTGGTAGGAATCGCCGCTCTTCTTATTGATATTTTCAGCGAATATTTGTATTTTATTTGACCTTCAACTGTAGTTTTGAGTTTTATTTTTTGTTTTAGAAAAATCGATCCACTCGACCTAGTTCTGCAGTGATTTATCGGCCACCCTGCAGCGAGTTAACAGAACCAAAGTCACCGAGAAGAAAACCGCGTGCTATGTCTGCGACAGTGCAGGTTTGTTGACACAAAACAACCTTCTTAGGCTTTAGTGGAAAAAGAGAAAAAAGAAGGTTTAAGCGATACAGAGCAGCAGTGATTTCACGATAAATGTGCAGAGACATACATTATGTGTAGGCTTACGCTGCTGCAGTTACAAGCTTTGCTTCTCGAACATTAGTCAAGTTTCTTTAAGTAGCGATAGGCAATATCCTAAATGATTTAAGAAGCTAACAATGATTACCAATTATCTCTGGACAGCGAAAAAGGACTGGATCTGAGAGAGGACAAACCCGGTCCAGACCTTCATCAGCTCACGTCGGCAAGTCGAGGTGAAAATGATATTATGCTTTTATGCAAGGTGTTGATGTTAATGTTCTGTTGCCACACTTCCCTTTAATTTATTCCTTTTAGGCTGCATCTTTTCAGTTTGAAAACAATTAAATAATATTTAATTTTCAGGGATGTCTTTTCAGTCGTCAGCTTGACTAAAAGCTTTTGTAAGCATCATTCCTTTGGGATTCTGCTGAGCAGACAAATTGTTTAGTTTGATTGAATAATTTTCTTTGCAGTCGTTGTTAATGCTACTAACGGCAAGGTACTTGAGTGTGTACTGTCAATGAATTCTTTGTGTCCAACGTCTAATTCCTGCAGCTCTAAAGATGCTCGCAGGAGCCGTGCTGCTGCCAAAGTTCTGAAAGAAGGATATTTATTCAAGGAAAGACCTCCACCGCAACTTCCACCAGGTGTGTCATTAGCGCTTAGAAACTAATTTCATTTTGCTTCAAAGCAGTGTTTTTAGTTTAGAATGTTCTTTTGTTTTGTTAAAGGTTCAAGAGAACGTCAAGTAAAGAGAGAAGAGAAAAGTAGACTGAAGGAAGAAAACAACAACAGCCTCACCCGGCGTAACTGGAATAAGGTGTGTTTTGCAACCAAGTGAAAACTGCGCTTCCATTGGTATGAATCAAAGGTTTATTGTTTTGTTGCTTCTATGGTCAGGTCAAATATCACTTTGAAGTTGATCGTGTTAAATCTGTTGTCGTCGCTTTGTCATTGGCTGTGCTTCCGTGGTTGACACAAATTTGAGTTAACCTGACATTAAATATACTTCATCAACTGTAGTTGGCGGTGTCGGAAATTTTACTCTTTCTAGTTCTCAACCTTGTACTTTCTGAATAAGTGTCGTGTTCTTTTAGATTTAAATCTTTAAAATATCCCTATAAAAGCGCTTTTAATTCATGATTGACGCTGTTGTAAAACCTCGCCCAACAGTTGCGTAGATTTCGTTTTTTAGCAATCATAAAAACAATCACAATAAAAGAGATGTGCAGACGTTTCCTCGTTAGGATGAATTTCTGTGGCGCTACATGGTTTATTTCTGCCCTGAACTCGGTTTATTTTGTGTCTTCGTTCTGTTAACTTGTTTTATTTTTGTTTGTGTTTATGATTTGTTTGAATCTCTGCTAAAATGTCAGGAAGAAGATGAAGTTGTCGCCTCAGAAGAATGCAATGAAGTCTTTGCGCGCCTGCAGGAGAAGGGAATTGATGTTTCCATGGATACAATCAAGAGGTGAACTTGATTTTAATAACTTTCGATTGTAATAGGCCCTTTGCACGATCCGGTCACATGGTGCAAAATCACACATGCTGGTGAGCAAGTTGCGCAGTGGGACTTCCAAAACAAAGGCAGGTCCAGCTGGACTGGTACGAGTTGCATTGTTTTGGAAGTCCCACTGTGCAACTTGCTCACCAGCATGTGTGATTTTGTACCATGTGACCGGATCGTGTAAAGGGCCTATTATCATTGCGGCACGATTAAGTATCATTTACTTTTTATCATTTTTGTGAACAATGTTGGTATCTTAACATGGCTGTCTCACAATATAAACTAGTCGTTACATTAATCACTTCTGAAGTACTTCAATATGTGCACATCCAGAAGTTTATAATTCTAAATTTCTGCATTTCCGGTTGTGGATATTGTGCCGCTATCAGATTCACGAGTATGCTAGTTATCGATCGCTTCTGCTGCGATGACTGCCAAAGAATTACCAATAGTGTTTTTAAAACAGTTTCCGCAGCACGCACCTTTTGATGGGTGGCATCAGAAGTTGTTGGGATTCGCGAAGAAAGACTGTAGGATTAGCAAACGGAAAAGTTTCTTTTTCGTTTTTGTGCTTTAGTGAGTTTACCTTCACTCGCGGAGTGTTCGTGATATTAATTTCAGTTGCCTTCGATGAGGATTTTTTCAGATTTATGTTGAGATTTGAATGAGTTCATTTAGCGTGTCTAAACCTGAATATCGGTGGTAATGATTTACTCTTGATTTGTCTTACGTAGAGAGTTTGTGATGGGGTTAGATTTAAGTGGTTTTTTATGTGTGTATGGTTAACAAATGGCTACTTTCAGCGATTGTTTCTGTTTGAACTTACTTGTCGATTTTGGAGCGAGTGACTCTTTTAAGTTGTGCAACGGAAAATCGATAATCCATCAAATATTTTCGCTCGCGCGCGATTGGTCTAAACACGTCACGTGACCAAATATTCCCAGCTAAAACTGGGGAATATCCCAGAATATTCCCCAATTTTCAAAACTGCGCGTGTTGCAAAAGAGATTTGAAGGGTAATGAACACAATAGCCTCCATTTGGTGCGAAAATATGCTAGGATATTTGTCCTTGGACATAATCTGTTCCTGGAAGCTCACAGTTTTCTTCCAGCTACGCTCTCGGAAAACTGTTCGCTTCTCGGAACAGATAATGTCCGCGGACAAATATCCTAGCATATTTTAGCGCCAAATAGAGGCTATTGTTTATTTCACTTGTTTAGGTCTTTGTTATTGTGTGTGTTATCATTATAGTCGTGTGCTTCGACTAAGGGGATATTTCTCAGTTGCCAGTAGTGATCTCTCTGATAATCGCATTTTCAGTTTACTCTTAAGTATGTTGTGTAACGGATCTAAAAAGTATCGACAATGATTTAAATCAAAGGAGACCTATGGCCAAACTCGTGGATTAAGTAATCTAGAGATGAAACATATTGGTGAACTTCCAATTACTGGTGTATTATTAAATGCTGTTAAAACAAGCCGGGTTTGTACCATGCAACGTCGCACTTAATTCGCAAAGTGTAGGTGTTTTTCGTTGGCTTTTTTTGCACACATATTACAAAGACATACGTCCAGAATAGCTAGGGTGGCAAAATTGCAGCAGAACATGGAGTGGTAAAGGCTAAG